CCTTTGGCAAGCTTTTGGACTTCTCGGATTTGTTCCCGCAGAACCTCCGACGATTGTCCGAACTTCCATCGAGCTCTCGAACTCCCAACGTGATCATTGTCATGACTCCGGCGCAACTCCTGCTGCATGTCTTACTTTCATCGTAGTTAATCTTGCACACTCAAAATAAAAACTTCGATCGAGACAATTAATCCTAAGCAATTAACCAAGTTGTCCGGCATGTCATTGGTCCCTCGACGCTTCGTCCGATTCTTCGGCGCATCGTCCTTTCCTGTAGCCTATTGCCCAATCGGCCAGTTGACTCCGCAACTCCGATATCCTTGGCACAATACCCGCTCTTCTTGGCCCGATGCCCGAGTCCACGACCCGAAGCCTTCTGTCGATACGTCAACCGATCCACCGGCCCGACTTCCAATCTTCTAACATGTTCCTCCGGCACAACATGATGTTCCTGCGTTAATTGTCTCATCCTAATCGAAGCACCCTGCGTCACTCAAAACGTAGATTAAATCATAAACATATATCAAGGAGTTTCATCATCAAAATACGTGATTCAACAGTTCGTCCGTCTAGGCCGATCAGGCTACGGACACTCTTCTTTTGAGCCCGTCCAGAATTGATCGATTGGTTACCTCTGCCAGCCCGTTCGTCTGAGGGTGAGCTACCGAGCTGAACTTCAGCTGGATTCCGTGGCCCACGCAGAACTCTCAGAACTTTCTACTGGCGAACTGAGGCCCGTTGTCCGTAATGATGGTTTTGGGCAAGTCGAACCGAGTCACCAGGTTCCTCCACACGAATTTCTCCATTTGCCACTCCGTGATCGTGGCCAGTGGTTCGGCCTCGACCCATTTCGTGAAATAATCCACTCCCACGATGATGTATTTCCGTTGTCCCGAGGCTGGCTGGAAAGGTCCGAGCAGGTCCAGACCCCATTGCGCGAACGACCATGAGCAATCGATGGGGGCGAGCGGGACCGCGGGCTGCCGGGGCGCGCGGGCATGTTCTTGGCACGAACTACACCGCTGCACATAAGCCTTCGCGTCCCGGCACATGGTTGGCCAGTAGTAACCTTGGCGAAGTATTTTATGTGCCAGGGTTCGCCCGCCGATGTGCTCCCCGCACACTCCCTCGTGGACCTCAGCCAGGACCGTCTGAGCTTCGTCGGGCTCCAAGCACCATAGGAGGGGGTATGTGAAGGACTGCTTATAGAGGCGTCCGCTCACCTCGGAGAACCACGCATGCGTCCAACGCAAGCGTCGGGCCGCAGCCTCGTCTAGAGGGAGGGTCCCGTCACGCTTGAAGCGTAGCAACTCTTGCACCCACGTGGTTGGAGCGCCGCCCAAGTCCGTGGCTATGATTTCGATGGCACGGGCAGGGAGCTCGTCGACTTCTGGCCGGACTCCGAGGGCTGTCTTGGACGCCATCTTAGCTAGCGCGTCCGCTCGCTCGTTTTCTCCCCTCGGAACATTGGATAATGTAAAATGGGAGAACTGGGTGGACAGGTTCTGTACCTGTGCCAAGTACTTGGCCATGACTGGGTCCCGAGCCTCGTATCTGTCGCTGAGTTGTTCGGCTACCAACTGCGAGTCGGTGAGGACGTGTAGGGTGACCACCTGCATTTCGAGGGCCAACCTGAGCCCGGCTAGGAGCGCCTCGTATTTCGCCTCGTTGTTAGTGGCTCGAAAACCGAAGCGGAGGGAGCGCTCGAATGATCGTCCGTCGGGGGACCGCAACACTAGCCCCGCACCGGCGCCCTTTGAGTTGGCTGACCCATCCACGTGCAGGACCCATGGTTCAGGAGGTTGCTCCAGATCGGTTTCCTCGGTCTGGGTTAATTCTGCGATGAAGTCGGCCACAGATTGAGCTTTGATGGCTGTTCTGGGCACGTATCGTACGTCATGCTCGCATAGCTCTACTGCCCATTTGAGAAGTCGTCCTGCAACATCAAATTTAGACAAGACCTGCCGAAGCGGTTGGTCGGTGACGACCTCCACCGGGTGAGCTTGGAAGTAGGTGCGTAGCTTTCGGGCTGATAGCACAAGTTCCAGCGCCAGCTTTTCGATCGGTGGGTATCGCTCCTCGGGCCCGCTTAGGACATGGCTGACGTAGTAGACCGGTAGTTGCTCGCCGGAGTTTTCTTTGACCAGAACAGAACTTACCGCATGCCGGGAGGCGGCTAAGTAGAGGCCGAGCTTCTCCCCGGGAGAGACCGAGGCAAGTCGGGGGAGGTTGGCCAGGTGTCGCTTCATTCGCTGGAAGGCTTCCTCGCACTCCGCCATCCATTGAAAACTCTTCGGGTTCTTCAGCGCCCTGAAGAAGGGGAGGCAGCGGTCACCTGATCGGGCGAGGAAACGAGACATGGCGACGAGCCTCCCATTAAGGCGTTGTAGGTCTTTGATCGTCCGAGGCGACTGCATGTCGATGACCGCCTGGACCTTCTCCGGATTGGCGTCAATTCCTCTTTCATATATGATAAACTTGAGGAACTTTCCCGAGGTTACGCCGAAGGCACACTTTGTGGGGTTGAGTCGCATGCCGAACTTGCGTAGTGTGGCGAACGTCTCGGCCAGATCGGCGAGGTGAGCCGTGACCTCCTGGCTTTTTACAATCATGTCGTTGACGTAAACTTCCATGTTTCGCCCGATCTGGTGGGCGAACATCTTGTTAACTGTTCTCTGGTATGTAGCTCCGACGTTCTTCAGTCCGAAAGGCATGACCTTGTAGAAGTATATCCCTTGATTGGTGAGGAAGGCCATGTGCTCTTGGTCTTCAGGCGCCATTCTGATTTGGTTGTATCCTGAGAAGGCATCCATAAATGAGAGGTGGGCGTGTCCAGCTGTGGCGTCTACCAACTGGTCGATCTTTGGGAGGGGATAGCAGTCTTTGGGGCATGCATTGTTGAGACTGGTGTAGTCAACGCACATCCTCCAGTTTCCATTGGGTTTCTTTACGAGGACTACATTGGATAGCCATCGCGGGTATCTGGCTTCTTTTATGAAGCCTGCCGCTAACAGTCGATCCACTTCTTCCCGTATGGCGAGCTGCCGATCCGGGGCCTGACGCTTGGGCTTTTGTTTCACTGGGAGGGTGTCGGGCGATATGTTGAGGTGGTGTTGTGCGACCTCCGGGTCGACACCCGTCATGTCAGACGGCGACCAAGCGAAGACGTCGGCATTTTCCCGTAGGAGACCGATGAGCTGCTTTCGTTCCCGCTCGGGTAACTCCAACCCGACCTTGACCATCCGATCCGGCCGATCTTCTAGCAGCGGCAAGTCGATGGTGGATTCTTTTGGCTCCGGATGGGGGGTCGGTCTCTTCATCTCCTGAGGATCCTCCAGCGGTGGTTCCATCCTTGCCCTTTTATTTAGCGAGATGGCGGTCAGGTAGCAATGCCTGGATTCTCGGGGGCTTTCGGTGACTTCCCCGACCCCGACGTGGGTCGGGAATTTGATAGTTTGGTAGTAGGTTGAGACGACGGCTCTGACCTTGTTGAGGGTCGGTCGACCGAGGATGGCGTTGTACACTGTGGGAAGGTCGACTACTAGAAAGGTGGTCATTACTATCTTCGACCTTGGCGGGGCCGCCAAGGTTAAGGGCAAGGTGATAGCTCCCAGCGGCGAGATCGAATCTCCAGTGAATCCGGTAAGCGCCGAGCTCATCGGCTTCAGATTCTCCCTAGCCAAGCCGAGCTTCTGGAAGGCATCAAAGTAAAGTATATCGATCGAGCTCCCGATATCGACCATGATCCTTCTTACCTGTGCGTTGGCGATCCTGACTGATACCACGAGCGCGTCGTCGTGCTCGGGTTGTTCGGATGCCCCGGTCGGGAAGGTGATCTCGAGCTCAGGCCCGTTCCTAGGAGCTTCGGTTGGGGCGGCTCTGGCGTAAGCCTTTCTTCCCGTCATGGAGCCTTCGCCAGACGCGGGGCCGCCAGCTATTACATCGATGTGTCGTTCGATAGGGCCCTCCGGGCACAGCGAAAGTTCCTTGTTTGGCCGAAGGTACTGGCCCAGATGCCCTCTATAGATGAGCTCCTCGATCTGCCTTTTTAGCTCCCGACACTGTTCAGTGTCATGCCCATGCTGTCGGTGGAAGCAGCAATATTTTGATCGGTCCGCAAGCTCCCGCGGGCTCCTCATCGGGTGCGGCTCTTTGAGTAGTCCCTTCTCCCTTATGTGGAGGAATATTTCTGTTCGGGACGAGTTCAAGGCGGGGAGAGGGGGCCTTGGTGTCGGCAGGTCGGGTCGGTCCAACCTCCGCCGGGACGCGGTGGGCTGTTGCGGTCGGGGTTGCTCCGACTTGACCCTCTTGTGTTCCTCACGCCTCCCGGCCATCCATGTTTCCGCGGCGATGAACTGGCTTGCTCGCTGCAGCATCTCGGGTACCGCGGTGGGGGATCGCTCCACGAGGGACCAAAAGAACCTAGTAGGCCGCAGGCCCATCATGAAAACTTGCATCAATAGAAAGGGGTGAGCATCCGACAGCCCTCGAATTTGCGTCGTAAAGCGGTTCACAAAATGGGAGAGGGGCTCGTCCTCCCTTTGGTTGAGCCCGAGGAGCAACGCCGCGGATGGCTTCGGTCGAGCGTAAGTTAGGAAGTTGAGCTCGAAATCCCTGGCAAGCTGATCGAAGGAGGTGATGGTCCCGGTCTTCAGGCTGCAGTACCACGCGCGGGCCGGCCCCCGCAGAGTCGTTGGGAACGCCCTACACATCAAGGCATCAGTGGTCCCATATAGCGCCATCTGGGCGCGAAAAGCGGCTACGTGGTCCGCCGGGTCAGCTATGCCATCATATGCATCCAGCGAAGGGAGCCGGAAATGGGGTGGAATCGCTTGATCTTGTATCTCAGGGGCGAACGGGGACCCTTGATGTCTGTCTGCCCCAGGTTCTCCCTTTGATCCGCGAACCTCCTATTGCATCTCGTCTAGTCGCCGGTTAACGAGGCGCAGCTGGGCTCGCATGGCCTCTGTTGAGTCCATAGACAGCGCCTCGGGGGCTGGACGGATCGTCGGATCCTCCGTTCCTTGATTCATGGGTCAGGCCGATCGGCTTCGAGGCGAAGTGGGGGGCTCGGGGAGTGGCGCGTGAATCCGGGTGATGGGCTCCTGCTATTGTAGGGGTTGGGTCATATGTGGGGGCGTCGGATGGGAAACGAGAGGAATGATGGTTTGGATCACGCCCATCAAGGCTCGGACTTGGTGAGCGAGGTCGTGAAAAAGGCTTCGGGCGAGACGGGCGACGGGCCGGCGGGGGCGCCGTCGGGTGGCGACAAACCCGGGTCGTTGAACAACCGCCAATAGCGCTCCGACGTCACGGCGGGATGCTCGTCTCGGGTTCCGTCGCACGGGGGGTGTTCCTCTAGGGTGCTGATCGGGTGCAACCTGACGGTTGCGGGTTCGGCATAGTGGGTTTGCTGATCGCTCGACATTCGGACGACCCTCCTTCTAGCGCCAATCTGTTGGTGTAAACAACTTTTTTAGCCGTGGCCTCGGGGCCGACGCGGTTGGTTCAGGGGTCCGAATGGCGGGGATCAGGCGCAACGTCCCTCGGGATCTTGCGACGGCCGATTGCGGGGGTCTGGTTGGAAGAAAACCTCTGCCGCGACGCCGTTGAGAGACGACTTCGGTCCAGTACCTGCACACAGGTCGGGTCGGCAGCTCGGCCCGACCCCTCTGACGATCAAGTCAGTGATGTGGAGTGGAGTTTTAGATGAAGAGGTGCTTCTATATCCCCCTCCCTTCGTTTGGAGCCCGGGGGTATTTATAGGTAAGTTTGATGTTACCTGATGTGCCATCCTGCCGGAGCAGGACCGTACCTCTGATGACGTCTGTCGTTGCCGTGGGCGTTGCATGGAAGGCCGAGCTGCCGCAGGGTATGGTGTGCTTCAGTCGATTCCTTCCCCTGCCTCGATCGGTCGTGTGGGGTCAGACGATGAGGTCGTCTGGGTACGATGGGCGTGGGTGTACATTAAATCGGTGTTAATGCTCGCTCCCTGTGGCAGTGTGCCGTCCAGGGGTGGCTGATGTCATGGCGCACCTGATCGCCATTTTTATCCCTATCAACTATAGGAAGGAATCCACCTACTAATGGAAGAAATCAAACTAGCAGTCCACGCCCTACTTGTTAACTTCAAACTAATACTCCAGATCCGGAGCCTTACTTGCGAACCTACCTATTCTTGGTTTCAAACTACAAATTGTACTTCTCATACTGCCGCTACTGACTTAAAGTCTCTTATTTGCTTCTTTGACTCTAAGTTGACTTACCGCTATTCTTCTTGACTCCCCGCGAGCTCAGCTGTACTGCCCTGTCTCTTAGCCTTCGACTCGCTTCTTTCTTTCCCCGAATACAAACTGGGCCTGTTAACCACATCTGGGTCTGATTCCTCTACTAATAGGAGCTTAACTATTAATACAAAATACAAATACTAACAATAAGGATTGGACTACTAATAAAAGGAATTGAACAATCCAAACCATCCGCAAGGATACCTGGCATAGCTCTTAGACATTTTAGTCAGAATAAGAAGCAAGGGAAGAATAAGATGTCGAAGTTAAGATACGCGTAAGGAATGAAAGACAGTTGTTTGATTCCCCGGTTCCGGTCTCAGAGGTGCTAGTGAAAGCCATAGTTTCCGAGTCAAAGTTATGAGTGTGTTTCTCCCAGTTGCATTCTTGTTGATAGTTGTTCAAAACCGATACTAACTACTCTAAGTCTTCGCTGACGTCTTATTCCTGCCCTTCGATATGTGGGTTCATTCTCTTAACCAACATTCTTTATTACATTAGTGGATGCGCTAGAATTATGTATTAGGGCCCGTACTTATATTTATGAGTTTGACTCACTTAGAAAGCAAGTAAGGATATCGGGCTAAGAGTATACATCGGATAGGCCACTGGGAAAAACCCCACGCCATAGGCCTGCCGCTACTGCCATTAAGTCAACAAATACTAGATCCGAATCTTGATTCACTTTAGCCTAACCTGTCTATCAGACCTTGTAGTTGCCCCTTACACTCTTGGATGCCTATAGCTCTAATACAATACGGGCGGGATATATGATGGACTCCTACAAAACACCCCATAGGGAATCCAACGACTACTAGAAAGGATGTCACTGCTACTGGAAGGAATTGCACTGGGAATATGGAATTTTAACAAGTAACACAAGCCCTTACCTTCAATACCCTATCGCTCCTGCCTATAAGCCCATCTTCCCCAACTAGAAAACTCACACTGTGGGGGCTTTATCTAATTCTGATACTACTTACTTGAATTCTTATGTGCAAGCTCGGGTCTTACTCCTTAACTTTATAACAGTTCTGCAATTCCACCTTTCATTCTGACTTTCCTACTAGCTTACCTCTTAGTTTCATCCCGAGGAGCAGAACTCAGCAAGGCTGGTGGGTATTTCCTATGTTCTATACCTGGACCTGGTGCTCTATAATAAAAAGAAAGAGACTCGTTGCCAAGAACAACAATTGTTGCTGACCTAGGGCTTGCGGATGACTAACTTTATACTGTTGATTCTCTTGTAACTGTTTCGTATACTTAACTCTTACTGCTGATTATCTTTCTTCCCTTTTAGTTGAATTCTAACTTTACTACTTTCTATAATTGGAGTGGAATTCCCACTTTCTCCGGGATCTAATTCTGACTCAACTGCCTAACCTTTATTACTTCACTTTATCTCAGGCGTACTCCAACTTGTTATTAAACTTTCACTGATGACAACACTACTTACTTCATAGCTTTCAAGCTGTACTTACTTTTCAACAGAAGCTACGTATCTCAATTCCATATCTATTGATGCCAACTTCCAATGCTACTCTGACTCCTCAACAATACTCAAGATAAGAATAGGCCTACTGCTTAAGAGAATGAAAACGCTGCTTACAAGGATGCCCTTCCTCGCTGTCCTTCCTGGGTTTAAGCCTGCATTGCCTAATCCTTGAAACTTCTACTGATGCTACACCAATACTTGTTCTCATAACTATAGAAGGGGAACGAACAACCCGGCAGCTATAAGGCTTTTACTTCTACTACTTTAACTTGATCCTAGGAATGGACTAGCACCTAATCAGAATGAAATACATCATACAAGATACTGGTCTCCTATGAAACTATTTGGTATGTTGAACCTCGAACCTTGCTTCACTGTCTTTGATTCTCTTACTGCTTCCTTACATCCTTATTATACAAGCATTACTTTGATTGGCAGATCAAGCTTCTCTTCAAGCTCATACTAGTAGTCGGCTTGACACGCTCTTTCTGATCTTGACACGAAGGGGCGTATAGGTGTTAAGGGAAGAATAATGGCGTATGGGTGTTTGGCTTAGGAGAGCTCCTTACTACTCGTTTTGTTATCCCTTTCTGAATTGGACACTAGATGTGGGCAAAGTGATTTTGATGATTTGATAAATTAAATTTGAATGGGTTTTATCTGAATCATTAACTTGATACTTGAGATTTTTTGAATCAAGATCTTTGATCTCCCAAGATTTTTTTTGTTATTTACTAAAGAGGAGTATTATCTAAATAAATGATGATTTTTCTCTTGATTCCTTGGAATTATAACTTGAAATATTTTATGAATCAAGATCTCTTATTATGTGCTCTTGTATCATTCCTTATTATTTAAGAGGAGATTTATATAAATTATAATCTTAATTTCTCAACTTGAGATTCATTAGGACTCCTTTGTATTGATCATTATATTGATCTTTTATGTTTTGAAGTTTTTCTTGATAAATACCAAAAACTGATGATCTTTCGTATTGATATTTCATAATCTTTGATATCTTTGATGATATTTGATCATTGATGTAAATTTTTGTACCCTTCCCTTGTGTTTATAGTTGTATACCTTATGTGATGCTTAGAGTATTGATGTAAGAAGGAAATGAATTACACCATTGTATTATTCCCCTCTTCTTCTTTCTTACGGTGACAAAGGGAAGAAAGAAAATTGCTAGCATCTCAACAGAACCAAAAGTACTAGCTTGAATGTTAAATTTAGGCAAATTGTTAAATCTTCCAAAAGAAGATTTCTTGATTGTTAAATCTCCCAAATTGTTAAATCTCAATGCATAAACTCTTCTTATACATTTTTTAAATCATGATCTTGATTTCTCAATTTTTATGACTTGAGTTTTCTTTTTGAATCAAGATGATTTCCTATCATTTCTTCTCTTTACAAAAGAAGAGATTTGTCAAAAATGATACATGGTCTTTTGGTATTCATGACTTGATCTTTCTTTTTTTTATGATTAAAATATTGATGTAAATTTATCTTTGTTGCTTATCTTTGTCATTATTTGAAAATTGATATAAAGAGAAACGAATTACAACATTGTATTCTTCCCTTCTTTTTGATAATAACAAAGGGGGAGAAAGTATTGCTAGCTTGCATATTTCAAAATGAAGAATCTTGCTAGCTTGCACATTTCAAGGAGAAAAACTTGCTAGCTTGTACATCTCAAGAGAAGCAAAGAATTACTGGCTTGCAAACTCAAAAGAGAAGCAATAATTGTTAGCTTGCACATCTCAAGGGAAGCAAAATTGCTAAACTTGCATATCTCTAAAACTTGCTAGCTTGCATGTTTTAAAATGATGTAAAACTTACTAATTTACAAGCTTGCATTCTTTTTCAAAAACTTTCTAGTTGCACTTCTCTTTTTTGTTAATGACAAAGGAGAAGAAGTTATGATTGATGATATAAAATTATGCATGCAATACTCATG